AGAGGAATTTTATCTAGGGGACTGTAATTATTGGATGAAATCTGCAATCTAGTTGTATTGATATCGTCAAAAAGTGTAAGGTTTTGATAGTGACAAAGATCTCACACAACAAGACAGTTCACTCCTCTCTTTGAGCCAGTTAAAAAAGTGTCCTCAAAATTCGGTGGCGCCCCCTTCGAAAAAGTGCAGACTTTGCGAACAGAGTTACTCTACTTGTGTGAAAACAATAAAAGTGAAACTAACAAACTGTGCTATTCCTATTCTTCTTCTGATGAAACGAAAGAGAGCTTCAAAACCCTGGCCCTGACCATCAATGAATTATTTATAGAGGCACCAGCCATCAATGTCCAGGTACTAGAGCTTAAAAACAAAAACTGCTGCGCCATCTGAATCAATGCGCAGACTTCCGCGGACACTTTTTGGGCTGAGTGAACTATCTTGTTATGTACGATCTTTAATAGTGAGCGGCTTTGCTATTTTTTTTCCTCAAAAGTGCGCGGCTCTGATATTTTTTTCTAAAAAATATACGGCTTTGTTAGTTTTTTCTCAAACGTATACGGCTTTGATAGTCTCCCTGCCCATCTGTCCGCAGCGAGTGGGCGTGTACAGTGCGGACACTGGTCAGTTGAACCTGATCCCGGGGGTCAAGATAAGCTGGCCGGGCGGGGAGGGTCCGGTGGAGGACATTCCTGAGTGTGGCTTCCAGGACCTGCTGTGTGCTACATACGGCGAGGGACTCGGTATGCTGGTCCACATTACGTATATTATATATGCATATATGTATATAATATATTTTATATATGTATTATTAATATGTATATTATGTATATTATATATATGTACTATGAATGTAAATAGTACATTGTAGTGTTTGTTACTCATTGCTTATAATAACACACTCACACACATATAAACAAACACAAACAAACACACTCACACACGCACACACATACACGCACCTACACATGTACACTTATACACACACACACCCGCACATTTATACACACACACACTCACACCACACACACACACACACACACGCACGCACACACACACACTCACACACACAAACACACACACACACACACACACACAAGCACACACACACAGACACATACACTAACACTCACGCACACGTGTATGCGTGCTCACAGACACACACACACACA